CGCCCACACTGCCAGGGGCGTGGGTGGGTCCTGCTGCCTCGGACCCCAGCTCTGCCCACACCACACACTGGCCAGACCCTCGCCGTGCCCAGGGCCCTCAGGGGGGCCTCGGAGCAGGCAGCCCCGTGTTCCAGGAGGGAACCGCACAGGCCTGGTCTCTGGCCTGTGGCCTTTCCCCGACCCCCAGGACTGCCCCCCCCCCACCGCCGGCCCAGGCCCCAGGCCCACCAGCTCACCATCTCGGCCAGCGCGGAGATGACCTTCCCCAGCGTGGTCAAGGACTTGTTGATGTTGGCCCCTTCCTGTGAGTGGACAGGCCCGGGGCCTTCTGAGCAGGGCCCCGGGGCCTGCCCCCCACTGGGGTGCCCAGGCCACCTGCTTCTGCCTGGGGTGTCCCCCGGCAGTGGCCTTCCACTGGGACACACAGGCGAGCAGCTGGCCCAGGCCTCTGTCCCTGCCCCCCCGCCGACCACTCCCAGCTCCTGCCAGGTGCACCGGGCCACCCCCCAACCCTCCAGCCCCCCGGGCCCTGCCGGGCACACCAGGCCGCCCCCCGGCCCCAGGCCCCGCCCGCGCTGCCCACCTTCAGGCGCGTGCCCTTGGCGCCGGTGGAGTCGGCCCGCTCACTCCCAGCCAGGTCCACCAGGCTGATCTTGCTTACCTGAGGGGCGGGTGGGGCACAGGCAGGTGAGGCCCTGCGGGGCAGCCCAGTGGGCTCAGCCCGAGGCTCAGGGCCTGCCACCCCCTCCCCCGCCCGCCGGCCAGCATGTGACCCCCCGGGCCTCAGCCATGCCACAGCCAGCCTGGCCCCAGGTCCCTGAGCCGCAGCCCAGGCCAGTGTGGCAGTTCCTACCGCTCCTTCCTGGGCACCGTGGCCGAAGTGACCCCAGTGCCAGCAGGCGTGGGGGGGCCTAGACAGTGGGGTGGGGTCCGGAGGACCCAAGCAGGGGTCGAGACAGGGATGGGCCGGGGACGCCGGTGCCGCCCTGCAGCCCTGGGGAGCTCACTGCGGGCCTGTGCGGAGGCTCCAGGGACACCCCGGCAGGTCCCCAAGAGTTCCCAGGCGCGGGAAGGGCGAGGGGCTGGGGCCGGCTGAGCAGTGCCGGCCGGCACAACCTCTCTGTTGGCACAGATGCTGGCGCCCACGCAGGGGCCCTGCTCCCAGCTCCAAGGCTGGGATCACCCCACCCACTGTGGCCCTGGGGGCCACTGAGTGCCAGCAGTGTCCACCACGCCACTGCAGACAGACAGGTGGGCCCTGGCAGGTCAGACAGGTCCAGCCCCTGTCCTGCCCTGACCCCACACAGACAAGAGGCAGCCTCTAGGCCCAGGCCCAGACCCCGCCGCCCGCCGCCCGCCCGCGCCTTCTCTGTGGTGATGTCAGTCTCGGCGTCGTGCCGCTTCTGGGTGAAGATGATGTTGAAGACGGCGTGGGAGCGGCTGCTGGTCTCGTTCATGTTGGTGGCGGCCACAGTCCTGGAGACAGAGGCCACACTTGGTCAGGTGGCCCCAGGGACCTGGCAGACGGGGCTCAGGTGCCTGATGGCCCCAATCGGGCAAAGCCCAGGTGCAGGCTCGGCTTTGAGGTCCCAACACAGTCCCTACCACTCGGTGCCCGGGGAGGGGGGCTCAGGTAGAGTGGGGCCTTCCCAGTCTTGGAGCAGGGGGAGGGACCCCCAAGAGGGCGGCCTGTACCCCAGTGGCCTCCTGTCCGGTCCCAGCACCCCACACCCCACACCAGGCCGTCCTGGTGCCCAGCAGCGTTTCCGGCCATGGCTGCTGTGTGCCAGCCGCGGGGCCTAGCCATCGCGACCAGGAGGGGCTGGACCCTGGCCACTCTGACCACCCGGGAGGAGCCTGCACAAGGGGTGCCTGGGCCGGCACAGGCCCTGGGGAGACCACATCCAGGGGACATGCAGCGGGCTGCACCCACCTGGCCTTGTTCCCCGAGTCCATAAGGTCCTGGATGTCGTTGTAGGAGGTGACGGCCAGCTTGGACAGGTCCTCCACGTAGGGCCCCAGCAGGGGGTGCTCCCGCACACGCAGGTTGCCCTTATTCTTGGGGTTCAGGAGGTCCCGCACACGCTCACAGTAAATCTCCATGTAGCTGACCTGCAGGCGGAGGCGCTGAGGTGGGGGGAGGGACTGCATCGAGGACCCCGGGGGCAGGGGGCTGCATGGGGGACCCCCCGGTAGGGGCACACCCGCCCGCCTCCTGTCCTCCCCTACTCTGGTCACCCCGGGACTGGCCCAGGGTCGCACTGTGGCAGGGGCGGAGTCCACGCGAGGGCGCCGAGCAGGGGCTGCTGGCCGCACGGGGCCGCGCGGGGCCTACCTCCACCGAGTAGGACATGTTGGCGTTGGTGGTGTCGTTGATGCGGGAAAACAGGTCCTCGCAGAGCTGCGAGCAGCGGGGCCGAGTGAGGCCCCGCCCCGCAGGCC